TGTGTGTGTGTGTGTGTGTGTGTGTGTGTGTGTGTGTGTGTGTGTGTGTATTGATATTAATACTAAATGTATTAACCATTACAAGCACAATTAGGATTTATAGAATTCTAAAACACAAGAAAAACAAAAAAAGTTATGCTTACGTAAGAAAAAGAAGATTGTTCGGGATAAAAGCGCGATTCGAGCTAAAGAATTAAAAGAGAAGAGATTATCTTGTTTTCAACATATCTCGAGGTAATAATCTCAGAAATTGATTAAGACAGTAAAGGCTATGACTTAGATGTAGTTAATTAATTCTTTAAGTACACTTTTGAAGTTTTGATAATCTGATAAAATTCATATACATTAATTTTTAATTCATCGCTATAAAGCCTATTATTGTTAAAGCACTTATTGAAGAAAAGTGCATTCCACATTCACTCCAAGCACACTTTCTGTTTTAATCTTAAGCATGCATATTTTGGCATTTCTCCTCGGTTGCATGGTGAAATCTGCAGTACACACACACACATCCGCAGCATCCAGAAAATATTTGCATCAACTCTCTCTTTCACTCGAGTTACTTTTATATTTTAACGGGGATATTTATTCCTAAATGTCACCAAGAGATATTAATGTAATATTAATAAGATACTTTAATTATCATATTTTTTTCATATTTATACTAATAGTATTACACTAATAGTATTATATCTAATAGTTTTTATCATTAAAAGATATAATATAGACATTTGGTATGTAATTAAAAACACATTTTAAAGAAATACAAACTTTATGCAAATTAGTAACTTTAAAGTTTAATAATAAAAAGTTAAATGAAATTAAAAGTTAATTTCCAATATTCAAAAAGTTTAAAAATTCGAGATGACGTTACGATTATATTAAGAAATGATGTTGTAAAACCTCTTTTCAGACGGTTTTAGTCAGCAAACTGTTTTGTCCTTCGCTTGGCCGTGATGAATGACGGCCAAAGAATAGCGTGCCGAATTAGAGAAGAAAAGATGCAGCAAACAGAGTCGTAACTAGCCTGTGACAAATACGATTTTTAATTGCAAAGATTATTTTTTCAATTTGTTACATCGCAACATTCGCATTGTTTTATAATTTTTCCGATGTGAGACAAACAGTATATACATGTAGTTATGCGGAATGTTTTTTAATTAATATAAGAATTTTAGGAAATTGATAGAAAAACAATTAGAAAAAATTATATCAATTAATTCAGTGCTCGATCTTAATAGAATTCTGATTTAAAATTTAGTTTGAAATACATACATACATACATTAAATTCAAGAGAGAATTACATAATTAACTATACATACTTATAGACTGTTAGTAATTAATTTAATAACTTTCTCCGTGCCAATTTTCTCATTCACTTTTAATAGGTATAATTAAATAGGAAACTGAATAAAATTCAATATTTCACAAAAATATTTTCACAAAAATATTTAGTTTCTTGTGCATATAGAGAAATTATTTAAACAAATTATATATACAGATTATTAAAATATACATTATATACATAATATATATATATATATATAAATATATATATTTTATATATATATTTTTATATATATATTTTTTTTATATATATATATTTTATATATATTATATATATATAATATATATAAAAATATATATATAAAAATAATATTCAGTATATCTTCATGCAATTTGATTAATCTGTGACTGATCTATTGATAACAATTCGTCACAGGCGCTGCAATTTCTAGTTACGACTCTGGTATCAATGAACATCGAGTGTTCACCGCTCCGGAAGGTCTCGCGGGAAGTCCCCTGAGAAGCGACGATAATCGGGGCCGAGTGTGTGCTCGGTGAAGAACCCGTCGTCACGCGCGCCCACCACCACGCGAGCTGTACTCCACGCATTCATTATTACGCAGCCACAACGTAGGGATCGGAGACGTATCACGCTGCTCGTTGTAACGTAAATAAGTCTCTCTCTCGTGTCTGCACGAATGTGCTTTTTCTTCCGGATTCTCGACTCTAAAAACAGGATATATCTTATATCTAACGACAGAAGCAAGAAATTCGGTCAAAAAGAGGAAGAAGACTTTTGACAAAGTAAAGCAATACCTGATTAGTAATTAAATACATTACTGATATAATATAAATTATTCGACAAATTGGATAATTGGATAATTATCTTGCTCGCGACACAGATAACTGTCAAGTGGAATTTTCCTCGTTGACGAAGAGATAATCCGTATGTACCAATGACAATCTCCCGCAACGAGCAATCGGACTTGAAGAAAGAACAGAAAAACAAGAGCAACTCCATGAGACATTGCAAGCATTATTCCGAAAAGGATGATGATGGTATCAAGCGATTGCGAGGTGACGGACTCGTCGTCAGGATGCATTCGAATCACCGTGTATTGGAGATCGTAGGCGATGGCTGCTGGATTGCCCTGTCCAAGAACTCCGGCAGCGTTCACGTAATCGGTGACGGTTGCAGGCTGCGTGTGAACCAAAACGTGGGCGATATCGAGTACACCGGCGATGGCGGACGGATCCTTCTTGGACCGGACTCTTCTAAAGGAAAAGTGAAGTTTGTGGGCGACGGTGGAAAGGTCATCCTCGATTCGAGTCCCGAGGCAGATTCGAAGTTGTCGAAGGAACAAAGAAATAGGAAAACCTACGCACAGAAAGGTACGTGTAAGGAAGTTATTGATAAAATATCGGAATGGGAAGATGATAGGATATTGAATCGAGAGAATCTGGACAATATCGTGAACGATGTGAAGGAGGAGTGCCAGAGGAAGTACGGGAAGCGCATCGAGGAAACACGGAAATCCTTGCGGTATCCAACCGTTACGAAGATCATCACGAAGATCCAAAGTGACGGTCAATGCGTAACGAAACGCTTCGGCGATTCTTCGTCGATCGTTAATTTCCGTGGTCGAAACGGCCCCGTAACGAAAAGTGTGTCGAGAAGTTCGGGCACGAATGTCGAATGATGTAACTAGAAGAATTTGGTTGGTGTTATATAGAAATGTATGTTTCTAGAAAAATAAATGATCAAGTGTAATCAAGAGCTGGTTACACGTAATCATTGAAAGCTCTTCTCTTTCAAGCGTGCAAATTATCAGTTATTTTAACTAGAAATTTTAGAGAGCTCGCTACAACAAAATCGAGACTGGTTGTATTTCGAAATTTATTGATAGTTCAGTAGCATAAAGTAGCATAATTACTGGTTGCTTAGATTTTGTTATCAATTCTACGAGTACTATGTCTCCTGCCTTTCTTTGTTTAATACTTTTTATTTATTACTTTAGAAATATGTAACACGACAAAGTTTTCGTCATTACTGTACAAAAACATATTTTATCATTTTGTAAATTATTTAAAAAAATTATTTTTCATGTTGTTACATGTACATGTAGTGTCATTTTCTCTTTAGAGTTATAAACATCAAATTGTCATTAGTATGAAAACTACTTCTACGTAAATACGAAAGATAAGATTTTTAAACGACTATATTTAGCACTAACTAACTGTTAATGTATTATACATATTCAATTATTGCGTAAATATTTTTTCGTTTTTTCTGTTAACCATGTGTTTCAATATTAAAAAATTATTATTTATATAATTTGTTAAATTATTATCAAATATATATGTCGAACTATTAAACCTTTATTATTATCCCATAAATCCTGGTTTTCTATAAAATTCAATATTTTCAATTAACCTTCCTATAATTCCTACTTAATAACTATTATAAAAATTATTGTTATACAATTGTTCCAATATATAATCAATTAAATAATAATAATTATCACCATGAAGTCATTTATGTGCTGAGTTAAGGCCATCTACCTTGTACTGTCAGCGTATCAGACCGAAACGATCTCGAAGATACGATCTAAACAGCAAATAAGAAATGAAATAAAACTCACTTACTGTATTGACGCGTCTTGGTGTTTTACGAAATGCAGGAAATAGCAATGAAAGACTAAACGTAGAGTTGACTTATATTTAGACACGAATAAAGCCAACACCGGCGTTTCCTAAGAGCACAGTGTGATCAATAGGTAGGATATCGGTCATAAACTATTCCTGGCAACCATGTGAAGCCCATAACTGGAAAGTTGTTATCCGAAGATACAGAAGCGTAATTTTATCATCGTAATGATCGATTAAATTTGAACAAAAGTCCTTCTTCTCAATCATATCATTTATCCCTGGAAATACAACAAAAGCTGAATTACATTTAAATTAGTTAATTCAAATGTAGTTTGAAATTAAACAGATCTAAAGAAAAATATTAAAAAATTAATTTTTTCGTGGAGATAAGTTTCGTGGAGATAAGAATGTAATCCTTCTTGTATGTAATCTGTATCTGGAAATTAAGAGTGCACTACTTTGTTTGGTATCGTCAGTGTAGCAACTGCGGCGGAATACGTTGGATACAAGAGATATTTCAGTAAATGGACGGCGGTCACACATGGGGCGACTGCCGCGAGGAAGATAATTCTATTTATGAACGACAGTAATCCTTAGCATTCCCTGAATATTGCGGCACGGGAAGAGATTAGTTTTGCAATTTATGAGAACTTGTTTTCCCTGAGATTTACAATGTCGTTTCAATAATTGTTCTATCTTTAGAGTTCATCCACGATATCGGACTTTCGCAGATTTTTCCGAATAAAATATTGTTTCTTACCAAGTAAATTAATATTCTTTTAAATATAGATATTTCTCAATCTTATACATCTTGTCTATATACCAGAAACTATATTTTTCACCATAATTGAAGAAAGCGACATACAGCCGTCGAAGAATACAGAAAACGTGAGGCGATAATCTCAACAGTTGGAGCGTAATGTTGCTGTTGTTCGCGTAGCATGTCAAACATTGCTCGTGAAAGCAAAGAGAAGTGAGAAACATGCTTTTTCAGGGGACTCGATTCGGATTATCCTCTGCTCCCTCTTTCTCTTCGTCGAGGTCCATACCATGTGGATATATTTATCGTCTGTGTTCGCTAAGATCATTCCACGAGACTCGCCTAATGCGAGTGGATCTTATCCAGCGCACTCACATTCGTTGTATACTCGACTCGCTTCTTCGAACATTGATATGTCAAATCTCTGTATTATAAATCCGTTCCTATTGCAATTAAAATAGATTTTAATAAACGGAATCTTTCTTTCAAATAAAATCATCTCGCTTTGATTCCTTTATAATAGTAAATCTAAATGCATAAATTGTCACATGTACAATATTAAACGAAGAAAGTTATTCTTCATCACGAAAGAACATTCTTCATCAAAAAAGAACAAGAGAAAATCTCGAATCTTAGTTTCAATATTTCTAGCAAACTATACTAACGCTCACTTTGCACTTTAATCGTTAAAACAAGGAAAAGACATAAACATACTAAACGTTACAGTTACGTTAAATTGCCATGTACGTGTTGTGTGCGGCCGCGCCAGCAGCAAGAGCACGTGAAAGTTTAAGGCCACTTGTTAATTGATCAAGTTAATTATCTAAATAAGAAATCTTCGTCGCCACGTATGGACCCGCGCTAATTAGCAAATTAATAGGCGAGCGGAAGCCCGCGATATTGTATCGCTGTAACAGCTATAAAACATCGGTCTCACCCGCGCTTTCCTCCGCGTGGTTTACTTGCCACAGATTACTTCGCGAAACCGTCGAGTTTCCTTCGCACGGTCGCGAAAGTAAGATATAATTTCATCCTACGTATGTCGGGATGTTCTTCTGCTATAATACGAGGGAGACTCGATGGAGACTCGTTGAGACAAAATTCATGATTGCAGGCCTCTTTATCCATTGATGACTCGTGATTGCTTTTGTGAGCGATTCTACGTCAAGGTGATAAATAAGTTGGTGGCTTTCTAGCTAAATTACCTTCTAGCAAGAGTAATGCATTTGGAAGATAACGAGATCAAGAGCTATTGTTCAACGATTAATTCCCCGTAACGCTGAAAGAGAGGGGTGGATTGAAAACTGCGGGCTGGGCGAACTTTCAGTATTTTCTTCTGTGTTCATCGACATGTAGCAGCTCTATCGAAGTCGACCACTCGTCAATTGGGATAAACTGTGTAAATAATTGGAAGCCGCACGGAAGTAGAAACGAGTTGAGGTCATAATTTATAAAATCCATATTAAACGACGTTGCGTTTCAAAATGCATCTCGTAAATCGGATTGGCAGACTCGATCCGCTTTCACTCCTGAAATTTTTATATAAATCAGAAGCGAAAAGTTATGAAACGATATATGGACGATGCATTGCTCGAGATTGTCAATTAAAAAAATTTCAAAGAAACGAGAAAGGAAAACGATTATTGGCGGAAAATATGTCTTTCCTTATTTTAAGAATTATTCTTATGCTGCAAAAGATAATGGATCGATTGACTCGATTGGAGTTCGCCATATTTATGAATTCATATGTGATTCGACAGTATTTAAGATTCCATGTGTTATACATCAAATATATTACATCAAATATAAAAACACCGTAGATTGATATACCATTTCTCCTTAATAAGTACGTAAAAACTGAGCGCAATTTTCTAAATGATTTGAAAATTATCTAATTTGTAAATTTGTGATTATAAAAAACTAGCATATTGTAACACAGAAATTAAATAACATATTTAAGATATGTTTGTTTTAAAATTATCAATTTCATATATATAATTATTTCCATATTTCAGGTTTGATTTATTTTCTATTAACTCAAAATCTTCTTGTTAATTTTTAATTAAATGTTTAATAAAAATGTTAATCTTTTTTTGTCAAAAAATTAAAAATTGTTATCTTTATTTTTTCATAATTAGATCTATTTATTTGATATTTCAAATGATAAACAGTGTAAATATAAGAAATTGTTCTTTTTCAATTTCAATAACTTTAGCTATTATTGTGGTACGATACCGATATATCCTTAAATTATCTCGTTAAGTTTGCTAGGCAAGATAATGCGTGTTTTCGAATGCGTCTACGACTGAATGCTGCACAAATTAACGATTCGTTTTATTCTGTTGTAAACAAAGTATGATGGCGTGACGTAACTGTAAACACGTCCGTCTTAACTATATTTTCTGCGCTCAGAGTTCGCTCTCTTTTGGAAGAAAAATCCTCCATTTCCCAGAGGAAGAAAAAGTATAGGAAACGTATCTATAAACAAATATCTGCTCGGCCACGCGCTGGGAATAAAAGACAAAGAAAATTAAGATTAATCCTGTGATTTAAAAAAATTCCTTTCCTGAGATTTATGAGACAGATATCAAAACTACTTTAACAATTACCTTTCTCTGAATATTTATCTTGTGTCGAAAGAGGAAAATAAAGCAGCACTTAACTCATTTCATTAATCCTGGATGTTAAATCTTTGGGACTCCTGTTATTTATTTTGTATTTTTGGTAACTTTTAATTAAGTCTTATTTCTAGAAAATCAAATAAAGCTCAACTCTGTGCATTGTACATTAAAAAATACAAGAAAGTGGTACGTACAAGGCTGTACGTATGGAGTGGAAAGCAATTATTTTCTCTTCCCTTTCTTTCATATCTAAAAATAAGAGTCCTCGGTACTCCAAGCAGCATGTAACACACAGTTGAATATCAAGCGTCGTTGTTTCACGACTATTAATTTTAATCTTGGTTTAATTTACTTTGTACTTTTCTAATCCTTGAAAAAAAAAAAAACAGATAAAAAGTAAGTTACACCGAGATTAAAGTTAATCTACATCCGTAGAAATGGACATGAGATACAGATATTTTTTTATGTCACATTTAATGTCCACAGTCGAGAGAAAAAAATATCAAAATTGC